TATTTTCCTGGAACTGGGTAATTTGTAGCTTCTGATTTTACTACCTCTGGGATTGCCGAAACAGAAAAACTGGACAGTGATGTACCATTGCAACATTATCTTACCGAAAGTGAATTATTTGTCAGTATGCAGGATTTTAACAATAAAATTATAAAAAAGTAGTTGGCTAATGCATAGGCTGCCCGTGGGAAGATGCGTTTTTCTGCATAATTCCAAGCAGTTTTTATCGCTACCGGCATCGGTTTTTTCGGCAAATGCTTCTAGCTAAACAAATTAAGACTGACCATCAGAACTGGCAGGAAACACCCCGTTAAAACTTCAGCTTTCTAGTTTTCATGGCTCCTGAGTTAGCAACTTACTGGAAAAAAATTTTCACGGGCCCGCACGCGGGTACCACGCATACCCGATTTATGGGTTTGAGCTCGTTGAGACTTACTTGAAAGGGGATCATATTCTTAAAACTATAGTCTCTTAGTTTTTCAGATTCACGAGTTATGAACTTACCCGAGGAAGACTTGATGAACCCGTGCATAGGCACCACGCGTGACCGAGGGCTGGGTTTGAGCTCGTTGAGACTAATGTGGACGGGGCACATCTTCTTAATATTACAGTCTTCTAGCATCTCAGACCCCCAAGTTATGAACTTACTCGGGAAGAACTTTGGCGGGCCCGTACGCGAGTACCACGTTTACCCGGAGGCCGGGTTCGAGTTCATTAATACCCACTTGTATGCGAAACACCCCTTAAAATTTCAGCCATCGAAAATCCTAATCTCCCTTGCATTAATGTGGGATTTATACATTTCAAAGAACCAAATCAATCGTTTTTAGTTTTTTTCTTAAACAACTTGTGGAAGAGGGAATTATCAGGCACTTTGGCAAATGACTAACAAGCAAAATGCTATCTCTCCAGCCACGTCTCGACCACGTCAATGTCTTTCCAACAGGAAAACACGTGCAGGGGACTTTTAATATGTTCAAGCTAACTCAGCTTTTTTGGCATGCAGTTTTCATGATATCGACGATGCCGTAGTATCCGTGCACTTCGTTACCTAGTAGTCAAAATTTGCAAAAAACGTACCTGCTGTTTATTTTTGGCCACAGATTCCTCCATTTCCTTGATCGTATTCTCGGTGTTCTGCTTGATCTTCAATTCAATGTCTTCTTTCTTTCCCAGATATCGTTGTTCATATTCTTTGAACTGGCGCTCGCGTTCCTGTAGAACACAAAGCAGATTTATTGGTATTTTTCAAATGACAACTGGGATAAATTACATCTAATGTTCATTGCATTTTAAACACCATTATCAATAGGTAGCAGTTCGATTCTTGAAGAAACTCAGTTTTGGATTTTGGCTAAATCCCACAGCACTAT